TGTATGTTTTATGCTTGTGACGCGCCCTCATTGTATTAACCCACGCTCCTCCGCAGCGTCCGCTAGCGCGCTATAATTAAATCCACATCTGGGCGCGCGGCGGGGTCCCCAGAGCAACACAGTGCGGAAGCATTAGCGTGTATTTGTGTCCTGGGGCCGAGAACGCATTTTGCGCAAAGCATGCTGGGTAGCAGAGTGAACTGTCCTGGGGACGAGAGTTTGTGGCGCGGGCGGAGAATGCCAAAACTCCCTCCGTGGCTAAGTTCCTTCCGCGACTAACTCCCTTCTGGGCAAATGTAGAGGGATAACGGTACACCCTCATAGCGTCACCAAATGAGGTACTTTGTAAAGGTCCGTTTCATTTGGTATATATTACCATTGTGACAGCATTTTATACCCCAAAATAGGAATCTTGCGTCTTGTTTTAGGTCCCGATAGTAGAAAGAATGCAGTGTACATGTATTCAGATGGCCGCCGTGTAACGTTTAATACGTACTAGCGAGCGCGCACGACAATACCGCCAGAGTAGAGTAGGTTATCCTAACCCTTTAGATAGCGCAAAGAAAACAAAAACGACAGATTTGCATTAAAGAAAGTTTATTTTCCATAGCCTGGGCTAAGCCACGATCTATAACCTATGGCTTCTCCACGGGCGCTGGGGACGAGCGTGGTATTAACCGTTGCCTAATTATAATGTCTGCACAGTAGGTCTGGCGTTGACGCTTGGGATTTTGTTGAAATATATAAAACTTCACGGAGAATTGTCGCCTATGGCTTCTTGTTTAACTTTGATCTAGATCCCAGCCAATAACAATATTTGAAAAATTATACTTTAGCTGTTTGCTGTAGATATATGGAACATCCATTGAGTTTGATTTGATTGTTCTACAGATTATCCTACCTGCAGTGTTTGTGTGCATTGCCATGATCTTCGCCATGATTGTCCCTCCCCTCCGAGACTACCCCGCCCTGAAGATAGACCCGTCTCTCTACAAAGGACCAGCTGATCCGCTCTACACCTTCTTCAGTAACGACGCCCCTGACAAAGCGGAGACCAACGCCCTGGTGTCTGCCCTGCTCAACCAACCAGGGATGGGCACCAGCTGTATGAAAGCAGGCAGGAATGGGTGGGTCAAAAGCCTTAAATTACAGGAGAGATACATGTAGCATTTTAAGATTGTGAATTGACAAAAAAATCTAAAACAGAATCGGATGCACATTTAGCACCCTGGAGATGGACAAACATGTTTTGCCTAAATTTCTTTATTTGTAAGTTTGCTTCAACGATCATCTGTGAATGGGCTGGTAAAAAGTACATATAATCTCCAAGCAGATGCAAGAATTTGGCTGAATTTCATATGTTTTATGCTTTAAGTGAATAATTTTTGCAACATAGTCTCCGTATGTCTGCTTGGAGATTACTATTAGGTTTTAGGAGACAAAATGTTACCTTGTTACCTTGCCCGCAAAACTTGGCCTAGAAGACATCACATCAGTTCTGCAGTCCCGCCGACTCCGATGGTATGGGCATGTTAAACATGCTAGTGGCTGTATTAATACATGTAACAGTCATAATTGAACTGCAGCTGCATAGCAGCAGAGGTGGATGGAGTGTGTCAGGAAGGACATTAGAGAGCGCGGCCTTGCCGGTGTAAACTCGCTGGATAGGGCCACCTCGAGGTGCGGTGTGAACACCACTACTACCGTACTACAGCTGCCGACACCTGTTCAGGGACAACAGCAGCAGAATAATCAAATCCTGGAGTGTGATAGTGAAAATGTATACAGTATATGAGTTAACAGAAAACTCACTATTGAAGAATCTTACACCCAAGTTGTATTTTTGTCAAAGTTTTTAATCTGTTACATGTAGTAACAGCAATTAATATAATGGAAGACATCAGTGTGCGCACTGAATTTGCTTGATTTTGAAAAAACAAACAAGATATTTTGTTGCCCTTCGATGGTGGCCAACATGACAAAAATGGCCAAGTATGTCATAAATGTCTATCAGCAAGACGAGACCTGAGTCTTTTATTTTTAACTTTCTAAAGTGTTCAATTTTTCCTTTTACATGTGAATCAAAACCATTTGTTTTTCAACTGGGTGCCTTGACTAGTTTGCATAAAGGTCCATAAAACCACTTTGTCCCATCAAGGCCTTACCACATCATCACATCGTAAAATGATGAGGAGACATCAAGGTATTATTTATGGCACTGGCCTCATTGTGTACAGGGTGAGTGACAGGGTGAGCGACATGTATGATTGTCAAGTTTTTGTCAAGCTTTTTCCTCCTTGATTCTAAAAGAAAACCCCAGTAATGACTCTGTATTCTGTTCATCTCAGTGAACCCATCTGTAAGAAGACAAGGTCCTCCTGTGTGGAACCTGAACCCAGGGCCCTCTCTGACACCATGAAGAATTTCTTTGCTGCTCAGAATGGTTTGTCTCCTACATACATAATCTTGCATTTCTAACTTAGATAAATTAATATGGACTTATTGTAATACAGACTGAGGTAATAGAGACTTTAACACCTGCAACATGTTTCTCCTTCCCCTGCCATTTTGTTAAACTATTGGGGCCAAATGACCTGTAATTTGGAATCTCCATGCAGAGACAGGGTGGCTTGGGTATAGCAGACACAGTTTGGCGAGGATCCTGTCAAAAGTGCGAAAATGACGGGGTGATTCTTGTGACTATAATACCACATGGGGGTTTCCAAAACACCTTATACACTGTACTGAAAAGCACTGTATGGGGGATTCTATAATATTTCACTAAACCATTGTATGGGTGTTGGAGACTACATGAAAACAATCATATAGGTCAGCACCACATATGGAAAAGGTAGATGATTGAAACAGTCCATTTTGAAAGGATATGGACTGAAATATGATGAAGTTGCTCCCAAGCAAATGTCTGCCTTTGTACATTCTATAGTTACCTTTGCCAAGAAGGTCATGTTTTCATTGGCGTTCGTGTTTTTGTGTGCGACCACGATAACTCGAGAAGGCTAAGGTTGATTGTCTTGATATTTGGCAGGTGGTTAGGTCTTCATGAGACCTCGAAATTATTAGATTTTGGGCTTTCTGGCAGCTTGTCATGGTACTGCAGCCAAACTTCTGGTTTTGATATCTCATGATCTGGACATGCTAGGGTCATAAATTTTGGACGGTAGGTAGCTCTTGGGCTAGGGGAGAAGGGATGTGAGTTTGCACCCCCTATCAGCTTGTTCTGGAACTACAGGAGCATTTGTTGAAAAATTTTTGAAGGCTGATGATTCAAGAACCGGTCGACAGATCATCACGATTTTTGTTATGTAGGTAGCTTATTAAGTGATGTTTGACATAATCAAATGACAATTATGTAAATCTAAATTTAACTTGTATACTTAAAAAGAAAATTCTATAGATCTGCTACCTTCCATGATGGACTAAATTATAGCTTTGTAATTACCTCCATGAAAAATGGAGGTATTGTTTTTGGTGTATCTGTGTCTGTGTGTGTGTGTGTGTGTGTGTGTGTGTTTCTGCACATTTGTAGATGATATTTTGCAATGATACTGTCTTGATACAATGTATGTTGGTAGGTCATAGGAAGACAAAAGTTCAAGGTCAACCAAGGCCACCCTCCTGGTGGCTGGCCTTGGTACTGCAGCTGAACTTCCAGTTTTTGTATCTTTTGCCCTTAGCATGCTATGGTCTTGGATTGTTGGTGACAGATAGCTTTTTCTGTAGGAAATTCGTAAAATGTACCACCAATACTGAAGTTAATAATTTTATAGTCTTTTAATAGGTAATGGTTCTTTTTGATTTCATAAATCTGAATTCAATACTCCATCTCTTGTCCTATAGCCAACTTCACCCCCACCATGGCCCATCCCTCCCCCGACTGTTCCTGTGAGACGGGGAGCGCCGTTTGTCCCGCTGAGGCGGGTGGACCGTTTCCCCCGTGTGACATCGGAGAGACAGGAGACTACCTCATGAACATGACAGGTCGCAATGTCACAGACTACCTGGTCAAAACCATGGACAGGTACCGCAGGAACAGGTGACACACTTCTGTTAAAAATACATTGTTACAGTAGCTTCATCTTCCTGATACACCCATGTACAGGAAGTCTACAGAACTACTGCTGTGTCTGCCCAAAACCAGCATTTTTCACACTCACAGTTTTTGTTGAATGTTTGGTCAATGTTGCATCAGAATATCCGCTAGGTGGCGCTTTCATAGCTGCCCACACTTTTTAACACGTCCGCCAATGTCCTTATAAAAGTATACTTTTGGCTATATCAAGCCACCATCGGTCAAGAATCGACGTAAAGGCAAGTCGGAATACAACCCCTCAAACGTTGGACAAGCAGTTTAGGACGTTTTAGTTGCTTCTATTCGAGATTTTTGTTATTCACAAACCAACGCCGATCACAGGGGGAGGGCATTGAAGAGACAAGGGCACTTCGACGCCGTATACTCAAGCACTGCTACTGACCAAGAAGGTGAGCAGGCTCCTACTTTGCCAGTGTTAACCTACCAACCACCTGTTGAACAGAATGACTCGCATAAGGTAAACCAGAGAACGGTAAAAGAGTCGGATGACATATAATTCCAGTTAGTACAGTGATCGCCGGGTTACTAAAGGTCATCTGGACACGATACCCGTCGTCGGCCCTTCGGGCACTTATGTCTTACACAAAACTGCCTGCCACAGCAAAAAGGGCAATCACGGAATGTGGAATCAAGAAAATCTTTCATGCCAGGGGCTGGCGCGGGGGAAAGAACGTCGCCAGACCGATCCCAGTGGTACTTGGAAACCGCCACGCGAATCCCAATAACTTCCATCGGTGCACCTGGCGTCCCTCATTGAGGAAGAAAGTCCTGCAAACCTTTAGAAAGACTGAAAATGAGAAAAAGCATGATCATGCCTGCAAGACACCATCTGTTTTGTTATGTAACCCCAGGTCACTGGTAAACAGATTGGAGGAATTCCAGTTCACTCTTCTGAACAATAGGATTGACATTGCTGCCGTGTCAGAGACGTGGTTCACACCTGACATGTCGGAGACACACCTAGCTGTAGATGGCTACAACCTGTTTTCAAGATGTCGTACAGAGAAAAGAGGGGGAGGTGTCGCCTTGTACGTAAAGGATTCCATACCAGCTAAAGTTGTGCAAGACACATCGGTACCGCCAGAAGTGGAATGTCTTTGGGTATCAATTCGACCCAGACGCCTACCCAGAGGTATATCAGAAGTCATCGTCTGCACAGTGTATAATCCACCAGCCTCTCACTACGAGGATACACTCGTGGAACATTTACTTACTGAAACCGATCGCATAATAACATCACATCCAGAAGCAGCAGGGCTAATTCTACTGGGCGACTTCAATAGACTGGATATTAAAGACATTTGTAGTGGGAACGGACTGACTCAAGTCGTCGACAAACCCACCAGAGGACAGGCGATCCTAGACTTGATCATGACAAACCTCCAGTCTTACTACGGCGAACCAGAAATCACCGGTCCTCTTGGACTCAGTGACCACAACACGGTCCTGTGGAGGCCTAAGCTGCGTGAAACACACAATGTGACTAAAACTAAAACTGTGCGACCTATGCGGGACTCGGACATCCGTTCCTTTGGTCAGTGGCTGTGCTCTTATGAGTGGCAGGAACTGTACGAGGAACCCTCATGCGAGCGCAAAACAACCATCTTCTACGAAACCATGGGAAAAGCCATCGAACAACACTTCCCCACTAGACAGATCAAAATGCACTGTAGAGACAAACCGTGGATCAATCCGGAAGTGAAATCACTAATCCTACAAAGACAAAAAGCCTTCTCTGATGGAAAAACGCTACTATGGAAACACCTCCGGAACAAGATAAATCGTGAGGTGAAGAAAGCCAGGAAATCCTACTACAGTGACCGGATTGAAAACCAGAGAAAAGAAAATCCAGCCAACTGGTACCGAGAAATCAAAGGACTGCTCAACATGCAACACAAGGAACTCTCGATTACCATCCCGGGTAATGAGTCAGCTGATAGTCTTTTCATCGCGAACTTTATAAACAAACAGTTTGCAACAGTCGCTCAAGGACGCCCCGAGTTAGATTGTACTCAACTCCCGGCTTACCTGCCCTGTAAGGACCCGCCGCCGACAATCTTCCCATGGGATGTTTACAACATCATGCGAAAAATGAAAGTGGGGAAAGCCCCTGGACCAGATCATCTGAGCACGCGAGTACTGCGGGAATTTGCATATGAACTGTCCCAACCGTTCTCAGACATCCTAAACGCATCATTGAGGGAAGGGTACGTGCCACAGGACTGGAAGGACGCAATAGTAGTGCCCTTACCAAAATGTAGACCACCTTCTGTTGATAAGCTGCGCCCAGTTTCCCTCACATCACAGTTAGCGAAGGTGGCGGAATCCTTTATTTCCAAGTGGTTGATGCAGGACATCAGATCGTCACTTGACCCACAGCAATATGGGGGTCTCAAGGGCCGCTCCACTACCCACTACCTTGTGAGTCTGATGGACCACCTGTGCAGAGAATCTGAAAAGCCTGGAAACATCACAACCTTGATCATGACAGATTTTTCTAAGGCTTTCGACCGCATTGACCATACTGTAGCCATAAGCAAGTTGATCAAACTTGGTGCAAGACCTAGCATCATCCCCTGGATCAGTGACTTTGTGTCAAATCGGCGCCAACGCATTCGTTACGGCGGACAACTGTCAGAGTGGGAGATACTTACCTGTTCTGTACCTCAGGGCACACTTCTCGGACCAATACTATTTTTAGCCGTCTTTGATGACGCTGTCAGAGATGCTGCTCCCAGTATACATGAATGGAAATACGTAGATGACTTAACAATGACAGAATCAAGGCATCGCCTTGAACGTTCCATCATGCAAGAAGAGCTAGATAAGTTCGGTCAGTGGTCCAAGGACAATTACATGCTTCTGAATGGTGACAAGTGTAAGATTATGACTATTTGCTTTTTGAGGATTCCCCCTGCACCGCCGTCACTCAACATTTACGGTTCAGAACTTGAAAGTGTGGCAGTTGCATGTCTCCTGGGAGTCTGGCTCCAGGCTAACCTGAAGTGGGAAACAAACGTAACCAAGATGCTCAACAAAGCAAACGGCCGGCTGTTTCTATTAAGGAGACTGAAACACTTCAACCTCCCTGTGAATGACTTACTGCAGGTCTACAAGTCATACGTGGGACCTGTAGTAGAGTACTGTGCCCCTGTATGGCACCCAGGACTCACTAGTTCCCAGTCAGCTCGCTTGGAGAGGATACAGAAGAGGGCACTGCGCACCATCCTGAGGGGTCAGTACGTGGACTACAACTCAGCCTTGCACACTACAGGCCTACAGTCACTCAGCAGCCGACGCACGGACTTATGCTGGAAATTTGCTTCTAAGATCAACCCTGACCTCCTCCCACCGAGAGGAAGTGAGGAGCATGGCAGGAACACTCGAAATGCTAACAAACTGAGAACTGTGAAGTGTAGGACAAATAGATACCAAAACTCTACCATACCATACCTAACCCGACTGTTAAACGAATGAATAGCAATATTGTTTTCTAGCACAACCCTTCAGAGAACTTGAACAAGGAAAAAATTAGTAGACTTATGTGATGAAAGAGTTATGCCCGCATGTATGTCGTACTGTTCGCGAAATATATCTATGTGTATTATATATCTATTATTTTAATCATCTTTTAATCATCTGTAACGGAGACATGAATGTTTAAGCCATGACAGAACTGATTTTAAATAGGTAAATTTAATTATCGTTTTTATATTATAACTGAATGACACTTTTAAAGTACTTGTAATGGAATCTGCAATTCAGCCAGTAGGCTGCGAGAGTTTCTTTTCTAATAAACCATTCATTAAAAAACCATTCATTAAATATTACCCAATGCAGACAGTAAAAATTATAGCCGGGATATCATCCTTAAGTACATGATTACAACCTTAAATGAGACATTGTGCTGTGCACAATTTATTACTGTCTTGCGCAGGTGCAGTACATTCTACAAATACATTGTATGCTTACATGTAGGTGGGAGGAGACGTAAACAAGGAATTCTACTGGCTGATATTTCAGTCAATTATTCTGAAGTTCAATATAAAGCCCCTTTACTTATTTTCTTACATCTAAAGAACCAGTAATACATGTAAGTTGTAGAAAAGGAGCCACAAGTTTTATATTGATGCTCGACATCAATTAATTGTTTTTACCCTTCTTCTTTTACCCCACCTGTAGATATGGTGGACTGTCCCTGGGTGAGGTCAATAACCTTGTGGGAGAGGTCAACTACACTCTGTTGGCCAGGGTGATTGACAGGTTGGAGAAGAGGATCAACTTCACCTTGGTGAGCAATTGTAATGTTTGACCAGACGTGATTGCAGTGGTCGAAATTTTTCAGTGCTCTGCAAAATGTCTTTTTTACATCATATATAGCTTTGTAAATCTGTAGCATTACTGGAATTCTTTTAAGTTTAATCTATCTTTTTAATTTCAGACTTAATAGATCCTTCTGAATCTCCACAGAAAATTTATCATTTACTGGTATTTTCACAGGTCTTTCACCGCTGTCTCCCACTACAAGCTACTACAACTAAAATCATACCTTACCTGTAAATGTACTAGTAATCACACCCACATATCATCCTTCCACACAACATACTAATAAAAGACATACCAAAAAACAGTATTTAACTCTTAGCAACTCGATATGATTTTGGTGCTACCTGAAACGGTCAGACTACTACCTTTCAGTGACACTAAGAGAATTCCAGGGTTATAAGTACCAACTATTGATTCATATGCAAATAAGTGAAGACAAATTTCTGTAAGTCCAAAGGGAAACAAAAGATAGACAAGTCAAGACAAGGATGATGCAAATTAGTGAAGAAGCTCCTATTGCTTCAAAACAGAAGCTTAAGTGTTGTCTGTCCTTGGGGCCAGAGAGTTCTAGCCTCAGCGGACCTTGGGTAGCGGACGAAAGCTAACAAGGCTGACACTCAGGCTAAGAGAGTTCTAGTTTGCTAAATTGAAAACTATTGAATCTGGAGCCTACTTTTCCTTCTGCAAAAATTGCAGATTGTATACATTTTCCTTCTGCAATCTTGAAAATCCATCTGCAGATTGCAGACTGCAGACAGGTATTTCGAACACTGCGTGATTGAATTCTAGACCTTTCTTGGTGCATTTTGCAACTCAATTTAATTCTCTGTGACAGTCTTTTAAAAATGGAAGACTTCAACCTTGTTTGTTAATCTTACCCCTTTCACAGGTAGAAAGCCATGACAACCTCGTTGAGGCCATCTCTGAGTTTATCATCAACCTGGAAACCAGGGACAATGCTAAGGTGTGTATGGGAATTGATTTAGAACCATGCAAAGTTTTATTTAAGGAGGTGGCTTAAAGACGTGTTAAAGCTAAAACCGAATTTACAAGGTATGGGATGAATAAAGGACCAAAGGTACCAAATATTTATTTTTTTTTATATGCAGTTTGCACATAAAAACAACACTATGTGATATTATTACATTGTACAATTATAAACAAGAAGAATTCATAGACAAAAACATACATTTGAAAAAAGTTGTAACCGTACAGTTATAGTTACTGTAGCTCAAAATTTCACATGTACAGCTACATGTAGGTGGCTGCTTCCCTGACATCATCAGCTGCTGTCCGGCCAGCCTTGGAGGTTTCGCCTCTCTCTGTCTGGTGGGGTGACAGTACAGGCCAGGTACTGCCTGGCAGGGAGTTATTGGTTTACACGTGCTATCTCTGTGTTTCATCCACACCCAGCGTGATGCCGCTTCTACTGTATCTGCCATCTTTGAGACTGATGCTCCTAGAGCCCCCTGTGCCACAGGGGACTCTAGAAGCAATCTGCAAGCAATCTGCACGGGGAATCACCACGTCCTCTGCAGAAGGTTTTGGTACTTCCCCGCCTTTCTTTCATATGCCTTTCATATCCTCTCCTCCCATGGGACTGTCAGCTCCTCTAGGACTACTTGTTTTGTCTGGGGAGACCACAGCACTACACCTAGTTTCAAGTTCGTACTGACTATATCTTCTGAGAATACCAGTCTCCTATCTAGGTCAACTCTGAGGTGCCAATCGCTGGCTGTTGGCAGGATACCTCTCTCTTTGTCTTGAGTAGAAGTTATTCTGAATCAAGGATAAACTGTAATTTCCAACACAAGTGTCAGTAGGACACAGATCACAGTGAAGTAATCATTGTGCTTGTGATTCATCATAGATTATGTAAACGATGCCCTGATTTGTATGGTTTATATAAAAAATGTTGATCTTTTCAACTTTATAGGGTTTCTTATCAATTATGAAAATTATCTCATTTACATAATTACTACACCGTAGCTAATGATATTCCCCCTACATCAGTTACATATTTTACATGTTTGAAAGTACTATCATGAAATGCAGTGAATTCATAAACTTTCCTTCATAATTATACAAAAATCTATGTACACACCAAAATTATAACAATCTGTTAATCCCTTTTGGGGCTATTCTCTTTCAAATTCTGAATCAAAATCAGCTGCTGCTATACACAGACACTCAAACTCAAACATCTCAAGCACCTAAGATCTGAAATTCCCATCAGTTAAAACAATGAAATTATAACAATTTTTCATTAATTATGCAAATTAGGTCTTCATTTACTTAATCTATATCCTCATGTGTTTTTCTCATTCTCAATTACGTGTCACATGTGTTTCATAGTCTTACATGTATCATCGAACGAAGCAGATTTATAGAATTTCCTCATTGATTATGCAAATTATCATCTGATTATGTCAAGCATCACTTTAGCTACCTACACACCAAAAATCATGACAATCCGTCAACCCATTCTTGAGTTTTCCTCCTTCGAAGATTTTTCAACTAACACTCCTGCAGTTCCAGAACAAGCTGTTAGGGGGTCCAAACTCATGTCAGTTCTTCCCTAGCCCAAGAGCTATCTACCACCCAAAATTTGTTCTCAAAATCAAGACCTTGGTTCTTGAGATATCTTGTTAAACCACAAACACACACACACAAATGCTACATGAAAACATAACCTTCTTGGCGAAGGTACAACTAGACCATACTAGCAGACAACGTACCAAACTACGTCTCCATGCAGCGAAGGAATCGCGAGTAATGGCTGCAGACACAACTGTTCAGGCTTCATCAATTTTAATACTCAGAGGTCTTGGCCTCCTTCATGGAGTAATAAGTGCCATTCCTTGACAAAGACTGGGCTTGGTCACTTGAGACTTTGAATGCAACTTTTTGTGTTGAAAATTACAGTTCAACCTTGACTAAGAAACCAAGGTATCATTATACTATTAGCAGTAAAATTATTGGTTTCCATGCAGGTATGGTACAATAACAAGGGTTACCATGCAATGGTTGCCTACGTTAATGTCATCAGTAACGCTATCCTGCGTGCCAACCTGCCATCCAGTAGCAATCCCAGACTGCATGGTATCACTGCCTACAACCATCCCATGAACTTCACCAAGGAACAGCTGTCAGAGGAAACATTGTATGTATCTTGTATCTTGAAGTGCTGTTAATTGAATATTATATGATTTTTAAAAGGATTTAAGAATAGATTACAACCTGGAAGAGGGTCTGTACATTGTACATTCATTGTAATTTCAGCACTGGAATGTTGGCCTTGCTAATGTTAAGACTATCACTGTTTATACCTGGTCTGTCTGTAGTCTAAATATTTAGCACTACAGTCTGTGGACATTTTATTTGTGAATATTTCATTGCTAGACTTGTTTTCTCTTTTCTCTGTTGATTTCCTGATGAATTTCACTTGTTATGAAGCAAGTTTAAACTGTAATTTCCAACACAACAAATTGGACTCACCCAAATTTTTGACTGTACAACTCCAGTCTTTGTCAAGGAATGAGCAATCCACCGCTTCTGTGATGTCACACAGATAACACAGATCATAGGTTGCAGAAAGTCTGTGGCGCCCCCGTCTCTGTTGAGGGATGGTTGTAATGCCCTGATGTATATGGCCTCTTTAATCCCTCGTGCAAAGAAGTCCGGTTCTGTGTCCAAGATCTTTGTCCAGTGAGACTGAATGTCCAGGCGATTCTATGTGTATATGCCTTTCAGGAAAGGCCTGAGTGAAGGGCTCAGGAGGATCTTTGCTACACATGGGATTAAGACCTGTTTTAGACCAACTAGAACCCTCCGGAACATACTGGTTTCACCAAAGGACAAAACACCAAAGGAAAGCAAATGTGGTGTAGTTTACCATAATATTATACAGTGTCAAGGACAGAATTCCAAAGGCCCATGTAAGGAAACCTATATTGGAGAGACTGAAAGATCTCCCAAGGCTAGGTTTTTAGAACACAAACGACCTAGCTCGACTACTTCGGAGGTCTCACAACATACCGTTGTACACATAGAATCGCCTGGGCACTCAGTCTCACTGGAAAAAGTAAGATTCTTGGACTCAGAACCAGACTTCTTTGCACGAGGGATTATAGAGGCCATCTACATCGGGGCATTACAACCATCCCTCAACAGAGACGGGGGGCGCCACAGACTTTCTGCAACCTATGATCCACTGCTCACGGAGTCACGTGTGTTATTTCCGTAATACCGTCACGGAAGCAGTGGATTGCTCATTCCTTGACAAAGACTGGAGTTGTACAGTCTAAAATTTGGGTGAACCCAATTTGTTGTGTTGGAAATTGCTGTTTAAACTTGCTTCATAATGATTTCTACCAAATTAATACAGATGAACTTTCAAGATAATTTCACTTGTTTTTTTTTACAAAGGCTGAAGGGTGGAGCTGATGTCGTCATTGCTATCTGTGTCATCTTTGCACTGTCCTTCGTCCCAGCAAGTTTTGTGGTTTTCCTGATCGGAGAACGTGTGAGCAAGTCCAAACACCTGCAGTTTGTGAGCGGGGTGAACCCTGCGGTGTACTGGTGTGCCAACTTCACCTGGGATATGGTAATTTTGGGCCATATTTAATTTGGTGGTTCTTTGATACAAAACATACTGCTTGACTGGAATATGAACATGAAAACTGTCAGGGGAAATTCTGCAGCCTGAAACATACAGATAATTTCAGGCAGGTCTGCTTAATTTTTTCCTCCCAGCCATCTGATTTCATCTGGACTTAATTTAACTTTCTAAATTTTACTGTAATTATAGCTCTTAAAATGCAACACTAACTACAGTAACTATACAGTAGGGGTTAAAACACCCATGTCCTTGGTACTGAACATGTACATGTAACATTGACTACGTCATCATCCTCAGTCAACCTTTTCAGGAGGTGGAGAAAGTAACTGTACGATATGGGCAACAATTATTCCTGTCCTTGGTGCTGAACATGCAACACTAACCGCAGTGACTATACAATTATATTATTATCTGAATCTGAATCTGGTTGCAGTTGTTATTCCTATAATTGTATAGTCACTGTGGTTAGTGTTGTATGTTCAGCACCAAGGACAGGAATAATTTCAGACTCTACAATTATAGGAATAACAACTGCAACCGCAGTGACTTTCAGTACAGTAAGGACACCAAATATCCCTGCCCTTGGCACTGAATGTGCAAGACTGTACAATAGCTACAACAAACACTCCTGTCATTGTTATGGAGCATTGATGTAAATGGTCACTGTAGAATTGTCATGTCCTCAGTAACTTATGAAACATTATGAAGCTTTTGTCTCAGTAGTCAGATGGAATTTAATAGACCAAAATGTATCTAACTCATTAAGAAGTCTGTTGTTTTTTTCCCCAGTGTTCATACCTAGTGTCTGCCATGCTGTGTGTGTTCATCTTTGTGGCCTTCCAGAAAGCTGCCTTTGTGTCTGCTGCTAACTTCCCCTGCCTGCTGGCTCTACTGCTGCTATATGGGTATGTATACTCTTAGACTAGCTTTATGAAAGAGATTGAACTCTTTATCATATTTGCAACTAGTCCTCAAGTCTTCTTCAGAAGAATTGATCATCATCACTGACTTCTAAAAGTTCTGAGAAATCAGGTTATCAGGTCTATGTTATCCTGGAGAAGAATGTTCACTTCAATCTCTATTCCATTATTTATTTTTTTAGAAACTAACATTGAAGACATTGCAGCCTGAATAGCATACATAGAAAAGGAGATTAAATGACAACAATGATACCTGTATACAACACTGTCATGGTAGTTCCCAATCACTTCATACATGGTTCTATTGTCTGATTGTACAGTTTAATTAACGGATTGGTGAATAAAATAATTTTCGACTTCGTTTTTTGTTACTGCTGGGGGAAAGAATAATTATGGTTAGTTCAGTGATTCTGTTCCTTATTTTGGATAGTACTAGTTGATTTTGCAAAATAGTCCCGCTTGAGACATCAGTCAATATACAGTGTTATATAGTAAGTATATTCAGAACTTTTCTACAAACTGTGATATGAAAATAGATTGTTAACTGTGGAATTGTATTTGTAATTCTGTAGAATTTCTCTTCATGTACTACTTTTTCTACCCTCTCTCTCAACCTGCAGTTGGGCAGTTACTCCCCTGATGTACCCAGCTGCATATGTGTTTAACATCTCCAGTACTGCCTACGTGGCTCTGACCAGTATCAACCTGTTCATCGGCATCAACGGAACAGTCGCCACATTTATCCTTGAGCTGTTTGAGGACGACCAGGTAAGAGAGCTATGAAAAGGATGTGTTATTTGTGCTGATTGGCTGATGAGTAGGTTATTTTTTATGGATCCATGAAATACATGTCCATGTACATTGTTTTTTCCTCATTTTTCTCCTTCTTCCCCTGCCATTTCGTTAAATAGATTCAATTTCTGGAGCCAAATGACCTGTAATTTGCAATCTATAACTGAGTATAAGCAGATACATGTTGGTGTGGGTAGGCAATCTTCAAGCAGATACAGGGTGATGTGGATCCTGTCAAAAGTGTGTACTGATCATATGTTATAATGACGGGGTAATTCTTGTGACTATAATACCACATGGGGGTTTTGAAAACACCTTATATTGAAAAGCACTGTATGGGGGTTTGAAGAATATTTTACCAAAACGCACTTTATGGGTACTGGGGACTACATGAAAACAATAAGATATCAAAGAGCACCATATATGGAAATGGTTGATGATTGCAGTTCATTTTGAAATAAGGACAGATATGGACTGAAATATGATGAATTTGCTCCTGAGCAAACGCTGCCTTTCTAGTTAGACCTTAGCTTGGTGGAACATGATGAGGTAGAAAATTTCATTGAAAACAGTTTTTTTCCCTGTGTTACTCCAGGAGATCATCACCATCAATAACTACCTGCGCCAGGTGTTCCTCATCTTCCCCCACTTCTGTCTGGGCCGTGGTCTGATGGACATGGCCAGGAACCAGCTGTATGCTGACGCTTTCTCACGATTTGGTATGCTTAATGTCACCATTGTATCTCATCAGCCTGCCCTATTTTGTTACAAGCATATTTTTTTAATTTATCCTAAAAAGTTTAAATCTAAGTCTCTGTAGCACAAATCAACCTAATTTGTCCAGTAACTGGTTCCCAAAGATTCAAAAGAAGCTTATTCTACCAATGACTTGAATCAGTCTTCTGTGTTTATCAATTAATGCCTTCATCAGAAGGCTATGAAATCACTTTGCTATAGTGTGGGAAACTATGCAGCATAACTCTTGAAGGCATGGTTCAATGTTCATGATTTTTGGCAGGCAGGTTACCGTTGTCGAGACCATGGTTAAGTGCAAAAATGGACTTTGTGGGAGCTCCCTACGTTACTGCAGTGGACCTTTTGTGTATGTCATTGATTATGTAAATAGATGTACTGCAGTGGACCTTTTATGTATGTCATTGAGTATATTGCTAGTTCTCATGGAAATGTACAAAATGGTGATTTTTTTGGTTGAAAAATCGATCTGTTTTATTAGGCACACCTACCTTATGTTTTAGGAAATCATCTCAATTAATGATTACCAAAAAAGGACAGCTTAATTGCCATGGGAAGTTATCGAAAATGTATGCACTTACATAAGACATAATTATGTAAACAATGCATTTTTAGTGCGGCAAAAGCACTGGAACATCTGCATGAATTGGGTGTACGATAAAGCTCGTATTCATGACATCACCTCAAAAGCCATTAGGTTAGGCGTCAGTATCTATGAAAGTACTTCTGTCAACCCATTATTTACTGGTAAATATACACGTATTGAACACATAAAGATAGCTAAGTGTAGTGTATAGAAGTAGCAAAAATTATCTTTGGAAGCAAAAAAGAGTAGAAAATTTGAGTTTGTTGACGCCACCGAGGGTTATTTTTCTTCGGATCCATATTTTTTCTACTTTATTTCCAACTAAAACAAGTCAATCTCTTGTTACGTCTTTTGCGCTACAGGTGTAACTTCCGTTACCGGTAACGGATGTTACGAAACGGACGTTTTTGTTTATTTCTCCAAGAAGATCTGCAGTTTTTATCTTCATCCTTTGAGGACAAGGGGGCATAAGTATGGACATTTAAAAACTGGGCAACTTTTTATATACATGTACCAGGTGAAGAACCTAAAATTGAAAGTAAAAACAACGGTAATGGATGTTACATTCATTACTGTAAAACAATTTGTTCAGCGAAGGTGGCTACAAATGACAGCACACACTCTTTTCTTCTTCTCTTAGAAACCTAGAAAACTTGCTAAAAGTCATCAAAATGGCAATTTCTTGTCTTATATGTGACTTTATCTAAACTGCACGACCGTCTTACTTGAGCGGTAACGGATGTTACAGAACTTGGCGACAGGTATGAAACATGTACAAGAATAGTGACAGGAGCGATCTGACTTGATCAGTCAGAGGGCCTGGCCACCCGACTTCAGCAGGCAGAAAACTACTGCCGTAATCAAATTGCTACGTTTTAGGTTGCTTTTTAAAGTTTCTATTTCTTCTCAGGCGACAGCCGCTTTTTAGGGGGAGAAATCCAACCCGCGACCATAATTTCTCTCAAGTCATCAATCAAACCTAGTTTTGTGGTACATTTTTCGTGAAACATAGTAAGTGTAGTCGGAAAGTGAAGAAAGCAACGATTATGTCCGTGATTTGGCTCATACCTAGTCATAAAGAGTGGCGACAGCATTTTGTACATTTGAATGAGAACGAGTGATATGTGAATAGATATTAATGATTTTTGGTGGGCAGGTCACCATTGAAAAAACTGAGGACAAGTTCAAATATGGCTCAAAAGTGGACCTTTTTTGTTGCTCTTGTTAGCAGGATAACTTGAGAATCTGCACATGGATGTGCATGATTTTTGGTAGGCACAGTACTGTTGACAAGGCCAAGGTCAAGTTCAAAAATGGGTGTTGTGGGGTTGGTCTCTATGTCATTGCAGTGGGCATTTTTTGTTTGTTGGTTTTGTTTGTTAGCAGTTCAAGTTCTGGATGAGCAATTGTCTGGTTTATTGTATGGTGAATAGGTTCAAGGGCATAGATAAATTGGTGTAAGTTCGGACTCCCTAGTGGCTTGTAGGGAAGTGCAATTTTATCTAGGTTAAAGAGCTTCAGCCAGGTTACCCTATCACCTCCCACCCCTTGGCTGCTCAATTAGACTTTAGCTTGTATAAGTAAACACGTGTGGAAGTAGGTCAATTGTTGAGTTCATGTGGGCAGGCCTAGGCAGACAAGCAGTTTTGGTATCTCATGATGTAAATATGCTAGGGTCACAAATTTATTTATTTACTATTTTCTATCCTCTGTTGCAGGTGAGAACACATTTAAAAACCCATTTGACTGGGACCTGGTGGGGCGGAACCTGTTCTCTATGGTGATTCAGGGGATCCTCTTCTTCACCTTCACCCTACTGGTGGAGTACAGGTTCTTTATCAAGCCAAGGTTTGTACAACAGTGACTATATACAGTATAATAAGGATAACAACTATCCCTGTCCTTGGTATTGAATATACAACAATAAACACAGTGGCTATACAATGTGAATAACAACTAGAGTTCCCCGATCTCATACCTTTGCCAAATGAAGTTAGTCTTTATGACTGACAATTTGTATCCCCTGATTGTGCAAATAGGATCCTCATTTTCATGAATTATATCAATTTATCATATTCTCAACCAAAAGACAGCCATGTATTAACAAGCAATGCCATTCTAGCATTTCCTCATAAATTATGCAAATGAGGTCCTGATTTGAATACATTATGTTTACTGATTTTCACCTTCACCGAACTTTCAAATACCACAAGTATGAAATTTCAGGCAGTTATCATTGGCGAAGGTAACTATCCCATATCCTTGGTACTGAACATGGAACAAAAACTATACAGTACAGTAAGGATAGTAACTAGTACAATAAGGATAACTGCCCCTGTCCTTGGTACTGAACATGCAACAATAACCAGTGACTATAACCACAGTGACTATACAGTACAATAAGGATAACTACCCCTGTCCTTGGTACTGAACATGCAACAATAACCACAGTGACTATACAGTACAATAAGGATAGTAACTACCCCTGTCCTTGGTACTGAACATGCAACAATAACCACAGTGACTATAACCACAGTGACTATACAGTACAATAAGGATAGTAACTACCCTTGTCCTTGGTACTGAACATGCAACAATAACCGCAGTGACTCTACAGTACAATAAGGATAACTACCCCTGTCCTTTGTACTGAAATTTGAAATTTATTTATTGCTCATCAATTTGGAGGAGGAGCAGAAGCACATCCCCCTGAATTAGGTACAATTTGTCACATTAGGCCACACCAATTTAATTTGTTGGTTCTCGGATGTTTTCAGAAAAAATATGAAGCGACAGGGCGAAAAAAAAATAAAAATAAAAACAGGTCTAGGCATCCTATTATAGGCTTAAGTGCTACAAAATGAGCCATGAAGTCAACACAAAAAGGCTGGGTTAAAATTTAAACATTGAATTTTTGAACTTTTTAATCAAAACCCACTAGCAATGATAGATGGGAAAACTGTAACAACTAGGAAGAAAAAGGACTTTACCTCAACTGTTTTTGGGGGCAAAACATGAGCATTTTTCAGTTGATTCAGGACCAGAATCAATTTTTTTTTTTTTTTGCAAATCAGAAAAAAACGAAGAGGCGAATCCGAGAACCAACAAATTAAATTGGTGTGGTCACTAGTTGTTCTTACCTGAATAGTTTGTATGCTTCCTAAGGTCAGCAACATCTATAGGCTGTTGGGAACCAGAAATCACCACCTTCAAAGGAAAGAAACATTTTCAAAATTCATTGGCTTGAAGATTGAAACTCTAGTCTAGTAAATAAGAGTGATATTCTAGCATTCTGGCCTTCAACAAGGTCAACAGTTAGGGCTATTCCATTCTCAAAACTGTACGTAATTTTTTTGTTGAAT